GAGCCTTTCGAACATTCCCAGCTTTTATAACCTCCTCAAGCGACGAAACTGAATTCATGTCATTTTCAGTTGACAGAAACCTCTATAAAAGAGAAGAGATTTGACCTGACTTCCACACTGATTTACATGGAGTGCAGGAGCTTATCAGATTTCATGTTACACTTCGTGAAATTGCGATTGAAGGCGCTTTCTCATGTGGACCAAATGAACTAAAACTTGTGCCAGGTACCAACCAAAGCATTTGTATCTGATCGAACCGACCTGTATTGAAGGACTGGGCTGGAATTTCGGCTTTTTTGATGCATTATGAAAGCTATCACTTAGCATAAGACTCAACAATGACCATGCACTTCCAGCATGCGGATACGCTCGTACACATTCCTGTAACCGAATCGAAACTGATTCTTGCAGTCAACATTCAATTCACCGTTTATCTCTTCGTGCATAATCACCTACACATCCTCATAGAATATCATCGATCATTTTTTGTATCATTCTCGGTTCTAAATGTTAATTGCTGTAAATGGCTCGAAACGATCCTAAGTTGGTCTTGTTACAAGTATCATACAAGTAGGGATTTTTCTACCCAGTTCATCCCTTAGTGTAAAATCCTATCTGAACCACATTTCGGTTAGCTGGTTGAGTAATACACTTTAATACGCAGCAATTTCTACCACTACCACGTTTTTCCGCAAAAGTAAAAGCGAAAATAATCCTCACCTGACTAAACATTACTTCTGCGAGCACTTCACCAAAGAAATCCCAGAAATTTCGCTGAAATCCCAGCGGCTCCAACCGTGAATGAATTCTCGCTGAAAGCATTTGTATCTGATCGAAGCCTCCAACAGAAATCAGCACTGATCACAAATCAATCACACAAAACATTGTTGATGTAATCCAAGTCAGAATGATCTCGACTCTCATATCTTGATCATAGTTTTTCCAATAGTTTTTCGACATGGATTCCACTTTGAATATCCCAAACTAACTCATCATATCAGTTAAAAGAACAGTGCAAGACTCGAGTGAAGCGTTACCAATCGAATATGGATCGAGATGTCCATGCTTGAGCGGTTTGTCTGAGACGGCACAAATGATATCGTCAATGAAATCCACTAGAAGATGAGCGTGATCTCGGATTGTCGCAATGGTTCGCTCAGGATGCGTCGTGTTCTTGTTTCGTTTCTTATCTTCTACACAGCTCAGAAAAGCACTCCGATAGAAGATCGGCATCACGTCTGCACAATTTTCAACCATTTTCTCGAACACCTTGAAAAAACATTATCAGTTCTTCAATGTTGATTTATAACCGATTGGCCAATCGATTATTCAGAAGGAATCTCAAAAAATCAAATCAAAAAATTTAGGAATCATATCCATATTGTGAATATTCTTACGAATGAGATGATACTGCAAAGCGAAGACAATCGAACAACTCGATTAAAGCTGAGCAAAAGCAAGTGTGCATGAATGAATGCATACCTTCTCCATGATGTTAATATTACCACGACCAGACGTTCGAGGTGCTTCCGAAAGCCGTTTCCATGTGATTCGCAGTGCGCGATTCTGAATGCACAATCTCTATGATCAACAAATCGCATCGTTTAATTCACTGATCTATTGATCACTCATCAATACCTTGTGAATCAATCCGCTAAACTTTTCAAGTTCTCTTTGTATTGCCTTTACAAATTGATTGTATAAGAATTAAACTGAAATTTCTGAAACCATCAATAAAATGACGGAATCGCCATGAAAAACAACAACCTGAAAAGTGTTCATTCTTGATTTCAAATGATTAGCAAATTGTTGCAAAGCAATTTCACTGCTGTTGGTAATCGCTGCTTGCTGATCATCTTCATTGGACGGAATTGATGCTAGCTTGCGATTCTCGATGAACGATGACTTGGTGAATGTGGATACTGGAATGATTTACGTTCATGGTTATGAACTCATCAAACTGACTTGAAAATGTGACCAAACTGTCAATAATCATGACCTTGAATAGTAAGAAAAATCCCTGACAACCAATGCTTTTCCTAAGAAAATTACTTTTCCCAGTGTTACCCACTTGCCAGCGATATCTTCTAAAGTTTTTAAATTGTCTAGTTTTCGGGAAAAACAGCAAAAATATCCCTAGAGGTGTGAGTATCTTTCGGTGTATCATTGCCAAGTTAGACCTTCTTGATCATATCTGGTGTGGAATTGATTTTCAAACGAGACAAATTCAACTGAAAACAATCCCAAACAAGCGTTGCATCGGAGCATTGCTATGAGTTGTTTTTGCGATTGTTCAAAAATGAATTCATTGAGGGGATTTCCTGTGAAAATACCTCCAGGAGGTGATGCGGACTCGGCGAGTTCTCCTTCCCAAGCGTTCCATCCATCCGTCATCTCCTGAATCATGCGACGCCTCTGGATCGCTTCCTTTATTCGCATCATCTTGGCTGAGTTTTAGTTGAATTTTGACCTCTTTGCAAACTGCAAAACAGCGAAATGTTACTGTTCAAGTCTACGATTAGACAAAATACAGCACCATCAACATAAACAGTTACGAATCGCAGCAGTCACATGAATATACGATGTATGGAGTGCTGATCACGACGCATTATCCATACCTCCAGACAATGGCCTAGCTAGGATTTCTTCCAAAGCTTGGAGGGAGGGGCCCTCTTCTTTTTCCCTTTCTTCCACCCTTCCGACAGCTGATTTCCTAAACAGCCTACTGATTTAACATATCTATGTTACCTTTTCCCAGTATCAGAAAAATTGATATGTTCTCAATCGGAAACGTGTTTGCTCGACGCGTAAACGACTCCATACATTTCGTTGTCTGCATGCGCCATACTGACCCGATACATCAAATATGAAATCCCGAAATTCAAAACCCTCACAGCCACAAGTCCTATCGGCTACAATTACTTCAGTTATTTCAACATATCAAGCATATCTTCATGCATTCGGAAACCGTACTTATATTTACGATCAAAAACTTCGCTATCCTCAATATACCCTGGACATTTTGCTCATTTAGGGTCAAAAATTGTCAGAGAACTGACATTCTCTGGAATATCAAACAACAAACGAAAGACATTGATAGTGAAAGAATAAGTGAGTCGTCGAATAATTCAATTCATTGATGTGTGCAAGCGTTGGCGTCGAATAATCGAATGAGCACGGTGTGTAACAACTGATTTAAATACCGAATCGTTGATAGGTTTGAATGGAGCTTC